CATATATAGCACTCACATGGGTTAATTTCACAGTGACAGAGAAGCCATTAGGTAAACCGGGGTCTGCATTTTGTTGTTGTTGTTGTTGTTCTAGAAACCCTGAAAGAAATTTAGAGCTATTAAAGGCAAAGCATGTGTTCTAACTTTAAATTATAACCGGATGAAGAATACTTATAAAAATGTTTCTTTTATTAGAGGGAAGACATTTGAGAAGCTCTGAAAGCTCAGATACTAATATATACCTTTCCTCTTTTCCTTTTAAGTGAAATTTTAATTAAATTTTAGCTGATATGAGTGACAAAAGGAAAATTCAGACTGTGACCAGAAGAACTAAAGGAAAGTGCCTCCGTACTTTTGTTTCTACTATTAAACAGGAGGGATTTGAGATTTCTGATTTATTTCTCTCATTCCCTTTTATTGTTCATGAACTTAAGGCTGCGTTCCATTGACTCCAAAGTAATTTCTGAAAAATGATCTGCTGACATTACAGGGTATCTGGATCATTAACCATGTCAGCGCTGACCGAGGAAATAATGTTCTGGCAGAAAATAGTTATTTGTTTAAAACAAAGGCTGAGAATGTTGCCATTTCACACATCCTTATGCCTACATGGCATACAGGGTATTTATTTTTGTGGAAAGTTCTTAGGAAACCCAGAAGTTAAAGAGAAGGCTGTTGATTAGAAAGCAGTATTAGGAATAGTATGCATATTCTCCATTCAGTCCTATTCCTCCTAGAAAATAAGATTGCCAACTTGCTGCCCCCTAATTTTTAGGGGTACAAATTCCTTTGTTCCATTAGGGAATGTGCTAGTCATGGCACGGGGAGGGAGGGTATGACAGTGTGCAAAGATGAAGGGTAAGGGAAAGAAGCTGACTTAAAAATAGATCCCATGGAGGAAAGTTGAAGGAATAAAGAATCTTCTGCTTGAAAAAAGAAAAGATGGGGGCGCCTGGGTGGCTCAGTCAGTTAAGTGTCCAGCTCTCGGTTTTGGCTCAGGTCATGATCTCATGGTTTGTGAGTTTGAGCCCTGCATTGGGCTCTGTGCTAGCGTGGAGCCTGCTTAGGATTCTCTCTCTCTCCCTTTCTCTCTGCCCCTCCCCTGCTCGTGCTGTCTCTGTCTCTCTCAAAAATAAATAAACTTGAAAAAGGAGAAAAAGAAAACAGAAAAGATGGTTTCTCACAATTTTTGTTTTCTTTTCTTTTTAATGTTTTTTTTTTGAGACACACACACACACAGCCACGCACACACACACACACACAGCAGAGCAGTGGAGGGGCAGAGAGAGAGGGAGACACAGACTCTGAAGCAGGCTCCAGGCTCTGAGCTGTCAGCACAGAGCCCGATGTGGGGCTTGAACTCATCAACTGTGAGATTATGATCTGAGCCAAAGTCGGCTGCTCAACCGACTGAGTCACCCAGGTGCCCCACAATTTTCCTTTTATAACAGAGGTTGGTAAATATCTTTGTGTGTGGACAATGGGGCACTACTGTATTACATAGTAATATTATGTAGATTTTACGATGGCATATATATAATAAGAGAAAAATTTATACAATGATGAAATTAAAAATACAATAATGGAGTGCGATTTTTTTTTAATGCTTGTCTGCCAACGAGAAGACTGGAATTTTTGTGGGGAGGGATAACATTTTGCTTAACAGGGATTATAAGTAGCATTCCCTATTCTAAAATTATTAAAAATATTCATCTGTAAAAACTCCTATTTCACAGTCTAGACAAAAGTTAGGGCTGCATTTAGTGCACAGGCTACAGTTTTCAGCCTTTTATAATGGAGGCTTTTTAGAATCCTGGGAACCAGTTATTCTCAGCATCCATCAGGAATTGTATTAAAGGGAATGAACATGAATGGCAGTGATAGGAATCAGTGTTCTATATGGGAAACCATAAAGAGAGTAGGCAAGGGCTGTGGGGACAGAAATACAGGGAATTAACTAACCCTTCTGATATCTGAGATCAGATAGAAAACAAATCTCTTAAAAGTCTATATCCAGACAATATTTTTTTGTAGGCGATGACTTCACAAGGGTCAGTTTTTATGCTTTTCACCTCTATCATGTAGTTTGTAAGTTTAGTTTCGTTAATATACAAAATCAATTTTACCTGTAAATAAGGTCTGGACTGAAAAATAACCTGTTCTCCACCAAAGTCCATTGATTTCTACGAAGTAAATGCTATGTAAGAATTTCCAATAAAGCGATGTACTTACAAACACACTACCTGGACTTTTTGTTCTTATTGATTTCATTGTAGAGTAAAACTCCACTACAAAGTACAATATTTATGGTGGATTATGTTTTATTGCAGACGAAAATGACCTTCCTCTAAGGGGGGTAGGTTCAACGTTGACTGATATTATGTCACATAAACATCAGGTCCTGGTTATCTTAAAAAGAAGGCTCTACCTTTAAGATAAAACAGACTCAGCTGTGTTAGCATTTTGCAAGCCCCTCAAGATCACAACTGTTATATTTACTGTCAGGAAGGAAAACTCAGCAAACACATATTGTACATGCATACAATGCTTCTGCTCAAGGTGGAAATGATTTTATAAAGCAGCTTCGTTTAGCATCCAAAACCTGCTCATTTCTCTTCCTTAAGCCTTAGTTTTGTATAGTTTGTATAGAACGTAATTTTTTTCTCATCTAAAATAGATGAAGTTTGTCAGGCATAACACTTCCCCGTGTAATGTCCACTAACTCTTTAAGAACTAGGCTAGATGTCTCCCTCTGCAGGGAACTCCTCTTACTGGCCCTCACACCCAGGTAGGGCACTGCTTCCCTGGTGCTCCCACAACACTGCACACATATCCCTACCATTACACTTTCACACTGAGTTAGGAGTCTGTTTAAAATTCCATCCACCCAGTTAGACTTGGGGCAACTTTAAGGCAGAGAGCGTGTCTTACTCACATTGCTTCATCCCGGGCACCTAAGCATGGTGCTGAACACACAGGAGGAGCTCGTTATAAGCTTTCTAAATTAAAAGGTAAATGAATGGGTGCACTGAGAGTCAACTGGGCAGGTATGAAAGTTCTATTTCCACCCAGGGATGGACTAGCACTGTTTTCCCCGAGATCAATGTGACAATGACATGATGCTGGATGCAGGATAAGGATGAAGACCAGAAAAGAATAGGTAGAGGAAAAGGAGATGCCCCAGGAATGAGAAAGGGCCATGACCTGAGAGCAGCAGGAAAGCAATGTCACCCCAGGGTGGCAGGAGCCAGTTAGGGCCTTTGTGATGTTGGCTGCAGGGGTGGTTGTCAAATCACGATTCTTTTTTTCTTCTCTCTCTCCCTCCCTCCCATCCCCCTCTCCCTCCCTCTTTCCCTTCCCCATCTTCCTTCCTTCCTTCCTTCCTTCCTTCCTTCCTTCCTTCCTTCCTTCCTTCTCTTTATTATTTACTTTTTAGTTCACCCCTATGATTTTGTAATACCTTTTTGCAATTTCCCGTCTCTGCTGAAAGACCTGATGAAACTCTGCTTGGCAAAGCTCTGAGGACAGAATTCTTGTCCCTGCTCCTTCTCCTCACCCTTCTATTTTAAGGACCATTGAGTGGTAATGAGGAAATCACATGGGAGGATTCTATCACTTTTTCATTGCTGAAAACATGGAGATTTTTCCTTGTGTTTTAATATGGGTGGTGGGGTTGAGGAGGTGGGGGGGAGAAAAGCTTTTCTTTAATGTGAGCCTCTTCCTTGTCCTCAAAAGACCTTTTATAGACTCATCAGTGCCCAGGGCTGCAAGGACATCCACGAATTCCTTCCTCCATCTGTAGTGTGCAGTGTTCTTCTCATTGTCTCCCCACTTTCTTTTTTTTTTTTTTAATTGGTTTAGCTTCCTGAAAGGAGTCAAACATGTCTTCAATATTTTGCTGATCTGTTTTTACTCCTTTGTCATCCTGCCCCAAACTTCAGCCCCGTGTCCAGCCACTGAGGCTGAGGAATAAGCTGTAGACGAGCAACTCGAAGACCAAATACACATTGCCCACGCCATTAGTAACGATTTGCTGTAAGCCAGGAAGCCTGGGGCTGGGGCTGGCCTGCCCAGGGCCCCCAAGAAACACCTGCTGGAGACTCGGGGAGGGTAGAGTTGTGGAAACGGCTGGTTTCTACGTTCAATGTTCGTAATCCCTAGGCCACTTATTCAAAACTGTGTATGTACTCAGGGGAACATTACGGTATTCATTTTTCTAATCCATTCAATACTAATTAGAAAATAAGAACAGTTATTAATTTTTACAGCAGACAGTTTACAAAAAGAAAAGAGTAAGTTCATGTACAGGAAATATGAGGCGATTTTTCTCTCCAACAGAAAATGGATGGGGTGTGATATGATGGAAGCGACGGTGCAGCAGAAGATGTAAAGGGCTCGCTGTGATTAGTGATCTAGCTGGCCGCTGACATTTGAAAATTTGGGAAAAAGATGAAGCAAGTCCCTTTGTTTCTTAAAATATTACTGCCTCTTCTCTTCCTGTTGTCTGATGTAGGCAAATGTAGTCAATACTCTGAAACAAAGTGCTAATTTTGTAGCTTCAGAAAGAAAATCCTATGTTTTCCAGGAGCTTGTAAACATTCTCCTATACTTGCAAAGGACACACAAATACAAAGAGGACTTCATATTCAATATTTTATAAAGTTCTTGGAAGCCATTTTGATGGCACAGCATCGACACTACCAAGGCTACAGAAGAGAAGAAAAATATCCACCCAGATTTAAACCATTCCAAGGACAGGAAGTTGGACACATCTAGAGCCTTATCCATTTCAACACTTCAGCCGTTGAGAGCAGCAATTCAGCCTTCAGAATTACTTACGAATAGTCTCTCTACCTTTTGCGTATCATAGTCCTCTTTTTATTGTTGTATAAACATATTTTTTTATCAACACTTAGGAGAAAAACAGTTTTAATAAACTATAACAAATGTAAACGATAGGATTCATGAGGGTAATTAGTCCAAACAACTGGCATACTTACAGTTGCATTTCTTCTGCACAAACCTAAGCTTGCATGCTGTTCTGTAGGTGGAGAGTCGGATACGATCCAGATCTTGAGCCCCTGGTGGGGGGGAGAAACGTCCACATATGGTATGCCATGTGTGTGGAAAGGGATTTATAATATTTACAGAGAAAGCAACTACAGATATAACCCATTCACTTAATTTGATTTTTACCTTTATTAGAACACAAACACAACTTTAAGACTTGAAAAGGTCTGGCCTCACACCCCTCAAACACTAGGGGAAAAGAACACAAGTATCCAACACGGGAGATGAGGTTGTCAACCATGTTTGTGGGCCAAGGAACACAGCCTCAGCCCTGCGGTGTCTGCCGCTTCTGAGAACAATCTAGTCAAGCTGTGACTTAACCAGCAAGATGACAGCACTATCATCCAATAACCATTGTAGATGCGCGGTGATTGGTCATCAGAATACGGCTGTGAGGTGAGTACTTGCTGAAAGCTGGGCCTCTTTGCTGTGTGACTAATTGCTTTTAGAAACCTCAGTTTTCTCATCTGGAAGATGGGGGTGATGATACTACTACTAATTATTTTACAAAATTATAAGGATACATGAGTGACTATAATTAAGCACAGAGGGCACTGCCTGGCACGTAGTTCGAGCTGTGTAAGTATTCATTAGTATTACTAGGGTCTATCCTGCAAACCTGCCTGTCAACCTCACAGGAGACTTTCTAAAAACAACCACTACTCTTTTTTATACCGGAGCTTCCGTTTCCTCTCTAACATAGAGGTACGTGTTCCCCATATTCTTCAACTACTTTCCTCATTCTACTCTTTCTCTCAAGAATCCAGCATGGTTTCTGATGCTCACAGCACCAGGTCTGAACGTTCTGCTCAGAATCCAAGCTCTTCCCATGCCACCTACCCAACGGTATTTCCCACCACCCTCTACCCAGGACCTCTGCCCGGCTTGGGCGAGTCTCCACACAATGCCCTGCAGATGGGCTCTTTGTCCCATTCACACCAGAGATCCTGGTGGTCCTCCCACCCTTCTCTGAATGGGCTCATCTCTAGACTGTGTCTAAGACAAAACAGACTTTCAACAAATGTCTGTTCTTTTCTGCTTCTCAATATTTGGCATTCGTTAAGCCCTGTTTATGGTTCATAACAGATATAAAGGCAGAGAGCTATTTTTGACATATATTGAACTTCACCAGTAAAAGTGCTACACGAATGCTTCAAAATATAATAGGGCAGCAAGTAAATGAGCTGGCCTAGAAGTAATTATATTGGGAGGCCAATTAAGTGCTTTTCTAATCAAACTCGGGATGAATTAGCACGTGTCCTGCACTGAGAGCATCAACATTCCCTTGATTCAAACTGATCTCTTTAGATTCATTCACAAATGATACCAATACTCCTATTGCTTTATAGTTTTATAAGGCAGATCATTAAACATTCATTCTTATGAGAGTTGATTACTTGACAAACAGGCTCATTGATACTGAGTTCCTGAAGAACCAAAGAGAGAGGGCTTAACCCTCACCCAGTGCAGGAATTCTCCTAAACGGAGAATGTTCTCAAGAGCGGGACAGGTAGACAATGGCCATAGAAGATTATTTCCAATGACAGGAATGATTATCACTTGTGAAAATAAATGAGCTTTAGAGTCAGTAAACCTTAATCTGTCATTTCCCAGTTATGTGAACTTTGACAAGTTTTTACTTGGTCTCTGATTTCTTCATGTGTATGGAGATAACAGCATCAGCTTTACCAGCTGGTAACCTCTGAAGCTTGTATATAGTGAGCACCTACTAGCAGGTGGGACTCCTAAAAAGGTTTCCTGTACATTTCCTTAGCAACAATAAGTGATAGAAATTTCTTTTTTATATTTGAGCTTTAATTTGCCTCCTGATAAGTTCAATCCACTTGATGTGATTTCCCTTCTGGAGACACAGAAGCTTTGCTTCTAGCCACTTGATAATTTGCACATTGGGAAGCACCTTGATTAGCATCTTCATTACCATCTGAAGGCTATGTAGAAAAGCCCCTGCCGTTGAGGAGTTTAAAGTTTGGCGGGGGGCATAACCTCTTGACCTTTTGACATTGGAGCCGTTCAACTCCATAACCATTGCAAGCACAATGTCTATCACAGAGTGAGGCCTACAATAGGGCTTCAATACGTGGATGTTGCTATCATTCTCTATTACCATCAGACAGTTTTGAGACCTTCATCCATTCTGGTCCTTCTGCTCTATGGCTGGCTCGTATCTCATTGAAGTGAGATATACAAAATTAACCCAAATTTGCCTCCTCTGTATAGAATATATAGAAAGCAATCATGACCAGTTTTGATAGGGACAATTATGAGTGCAATTATTTTTTTTTTTTATTTTACAGAGAGAGAGAGAGAAAATGTGAGAGAGGGGCAGAAGGAGAGAGAGAGAGACAGACAGAGAGAGAGAGAATTTTAAGCAGGCTCCATGCTCAACACGGAGCCTGATGTTGGGCTCGATCCCAAGACCTCAGGTTCATGACCTGAGCCAAAATCAAGAGCTGGGACGCTCAACTGACTGAGCCACCCAGGCACCCCACGAATGCAATTTTAAAAAATAAATGGCTCGTTCCTCTAGTTCTTTTCATTAAAAAGCTGAAAAAAATCATATGTATTTACATATGATCACATCTTTTCTATTTTCTACTTAAATGCTTATTTGGGGGCGCCTGGGTGGCGCAGTCGGTTAAGCATCCGACTTCAGCCAGGTCACGATCTCGCGGTCCGTGAGTTTGAGCCCCGCGTCAGGCTCTGGGCTGATGGCTCAGAGCCTGGAGCCTGTTTCCCATTCTGTGTCTCCCTCTCTCTCTGCCCCTCCCCCGTTCATGCTCTGTCTCTCTCTATCCCAAAAATAAATAAACGTTGAAAAAAAAAAATGCTTATTTGGAGGCTGAAGATAGGACTTCATATTTATCTGGTTAGTTTCTTTTAATTTTTATCTCATGCTTGTAATTGTTCTGATAGTTTTAAAATTTTTGATTTTGCCACTGGGATTTCCAAGGGCCTTCCCAGTTTTGTGTCCTCTGTAAATCTGAGAGGCTCATTTAGAAACTTAATTCTCTAGGGTTCTGGATAACCAGAGACAGAGAGACTATCAGAAATACCTGAACACTAAATCTGCCTTTTTCCCTGATGAGGATGTACTTTTACTGATGCTGAGCTTGGCTCAACAGTCAAGAGAGTCTCAGTATCTGAAAATAATCCTTTAAAAGAAGACATTAGGGACACAGATTAGTTGCGTGAGTTCTTTAAGAATAATGATAATCCGCAGGTATAAAAGGGCTGTGATGCAGCAGACAATTAAATGTCTTAGTTCCAGCAAAACTTTATCCTCTGAGGACAGAAATACTAGCTCCTCTGCACCTCCCTCTCATAGAGGCTCTAGGGGCAATTTGGCAAAGGTGCACCTCTCCTACATGTAGTAATGATGATGCTTAGGGACGGGAGTGCACTGACTGTTCTCCCCTGCCCTATCATGATGTGGACTTAACTGACCCTCTTTTTGTTCAAGAATCAGGAAGGGGTCTGAGGGTCTCTAGATGTTTCCTATTTGTAGAAGTTCTTCCTGGCTGAAGTTCAAAGGGGATGCACATTGCACAGACCATGTAAGTGGCAACCACAGGATCCATCTGGATTCTGGGACCCGAAAACGCTGAGCTGAGACATGCTGCACAGGCTCTTGCTCTGCTTATCCCCCTTGTTTAAAATATTTATTTGTCCCACCCCCAATAAACCAGAAACTTAATTCAGTTTTACATGGGTAGTCTCTTCTTGAAAGTCTATAAGTTTGTAGTTTGCCTTGGGAGTAGTTGCAGGTCTTCTGTGTCCAAGTTATTGGTTAAAACCAAGCACCTGAACAGGGCCACACATAGACTCTTCTAGTATGCTACTAGAGGCTGCCTTCCAAGTTGATTGACCCATTGCTTATTCCTGCAGATATGGTCACAACACCACCTATAAATCAACCTAATTGTATGGCAAACTGACTCACATCTCCAACACATGCACAACATAAGAGCCTTTGTCAGTATCTTGTTGAATTAAGGTTCATTTTTATGCTATCGTATTTTCCTGAGCTAGCAGTCTAGGAGCCTTATTAAAAAGGGAAATTAGCTGACTTAATTCCTTTATAAAAAAGATAGAATTTGAATAAATGCATAAAGAAGTCAATAGAGCAATCCTTGTTCTTAGCATGTTGAAATGTCTAGGATTAGCACTATATTTTTTCCATGACCTGAAAATGAATCCATCTTATCATAAAACCTACAAGTTCATACCCTGGACTCTCAAGAAGCCATATTCTTCCTTCTTAATAAAAAATGAGTATAGCATTTCCCTATTTTTAATTTTTTTGCAATGGTCTAATTATTTCTGAAAAAAATGGATGATATTTTTCCCTGTATTATTGCATCACTGGGATATAATTCTTTAAAACATGCAGATTCAACTCATTTAAATAATACCTTAGATTTGCTTCATAATTATACAGAAGGGACTGGGGCTAAATAATTAAGGGCAGAGATGAATATTACTGTCTCCACTTCTTTATATATTTGAAACTTTTCATAATGAACATTTAAAGCTAATCCACTTAAGGCAATTTGATGCTCTTGTATCTTGTCTTCCAATCTCTCATATCCACGTCATACTTGGAAGAAAGTGATAAAGACAAAAACAAAGATGCAGTTAAGAAATTCTGATTGATCACACTGTTATCTCCTACAAATCCTGTTTTTCCTTTCTTTTGTTCTTCCTTTCAAGATTTTTCTCTGCTCTTCCTCTATGTCCTTCCTTTCCTCCTTCTCTCCCTCTCTTCCTTCCTCCTACCTCTTACATTCTTTCCCTCCATTCGTCCATCTATCTATTTATCCAACCAACCAACCAACCAACCAACCAACCAACCAACCAACCAACCAACCTATCTTACCTACTTCTTGGCTTTAGTTTTATTACATTCTAATAATTTTTAAAATTTTTGTAATTATTTGTTTTGAGAGACAGACACAGTGTGAATGGGGGAAGGGCAGAGAGTGAGGGAGACAGAATCCGAAGCAGACTCTAGGCTCTGAGCTGTCGGCAAGAGCCCGACGTGGGGCTTGAACCCATGAACCATGAGATCATGACCTGAGCTGAAGTCCGACACTTAATCGACTGAGCCACCCAGGTGCCCCTAGTTTTATTACATTCTAAATAGTTTCACACAATTAAAGTATATTTTGCCTTTCATGTTTTGATAGCTCATTATAAAGCCTTTTATAAAGTCATTAAGATAATTAAATATCTCATTCATTTTTCAAATTTGCTCAACAAATATTTACAGAATAAAGATGAAGCCTATGAAGATTCCATGTCTGAACTCTTCCATGCTTGCTGATTGTGTGTGTGTGTGTGTGTGTGTGTGTGTGTGAAGTAGAGAGAGAGTGAGAGAGAGGTAAAGGAGCTAGGGGGTCAAGGATAATGGTCAAATTTCTCTCTTAGGACACTTAGTGGGGTGGGGAGGCCCTCTCTGAGCCAAGGTACAAACAGGAGGCATAGGTTTGCAGGTGCGTGAATGCAGAGTTCAGTTTTGGGCTTACATGGATTGAGATGCTTGTGGATGTCCAAGTGGAGATATCAGCGGCAGTTGGAGATATAGATATGGAACTCCTGACTATGGCATACATTCTCAGAATTACCAACAAACATAAAATGTAGCAATTTGTCTTAACTGGGCCAAGACTGGGAATATTCTTCCAAGAGAAGTCTCTGCATACAGCCATGGGCACTGTTAGTGGAATAAATGGTGAGCCCACCTCAAGTTGTTTCATTAGTAGAAGCCTTGACAGTGAGGAAGCAAGGCTGGAGGGACACTGACTTTATATGCTGACTATTCTGGATAAGATGGTTCAGGAGAACATGGATGTGGTTTTGAAGGACTCCTTGAAACTTGGGAGCCATGACAATAAAGGTGAAGCCTTGAGAGAAAGTAAAATTGTATATGGAGGGAATTGTTCAAGAACAAAGCTTTGGTATGATCTGGCTTCAGGGTGTCTGGGATCTGCTAAGAGACAGAAAAAGAGAACGGCAGTGGTCAAAAACAGCAGGAGACCAGACTTGGGTGGTGACATCAGAGAGTATTTCCAGGATGGTGACCCATGGTATTAACATCTTAAAGAGGCTGAAGAGCAAGAGAAATGAAGAAGCAAGTGGAAATAGTCCCTGTACCCACCATGGCCTATAGTGGTGTGTATGGTGGGCTCATAGCAGTGGGCTCATTCGTGTCATTGTTTTCAATTTTTGAAATCAATTTTCCTAAAAGTCACAGTGTGCATTGCAAAATCATGCTGTAGGTTCCATTCCCATTAGCCACGTGCTGACTTGTAGTCCACTTCCTGAAGAACTATCTGCCTTTGAAGGATTCGGGTGTTTTCCAAGTACCTACACTTGCCTCCCTTTGATTTTCCATCCCCCCTCTGTGCAGAGGCCAGTGGTATCATTGTGATTTCTCCTCAGGCCTTTCCTTATCCTGTTAGATAGCCTTCCTTATTCTGAAGGAATGTCTTCCAATCACTCTCCTCTGATTAAAACCTACCTATCCTGTGCCCTGTAGGCTTTTAAACCAACATTTATTCAGCATCTAAAGAGAATGGATTTGAAGGTAAACGTCTATGGTTTACCTTCTTTAAGCTACCTTAGGAAGCATTCACAACAATGACTGACAAGTTCATAAGTAAGTGTCATATAAGGCCGAGTGATGTCCTCTGAGAGCAGAAAAACAGAGAAGGTGATTTAATTCCAAGAACAATTTATTCTGCTAAAAGCCAATCTGATAAACTTATTTGAGCTGATAAACTTATTTGATGGCTGAAAAGCCAAGGTGAGGATGACATTTACATTTAACTAGTCTTTTTAGTTTTAATCTAAGGTACCAAATAAACTGATAATTAGGGCATTATACTGAAGGGAATTTTTGGTTAAGGGCAACCTGTCTAGAATTTCTTTAATCGAAGTTGGTGGCCACAGAGTTAGTGTTTCGTTTTGCTTTTTTTTTTAAATACAAGGCTAGTCTTTTTTTGCTTATATGTGAGTCCACGCTATCCTTAATTTCATTTCTTTGCCATTTCTTTTTGCTTCTGAGGCCTGTGGTTATGAGCTCAGAGTAGATGTTTAATGCATATGTGCTGTAATCACCTGAATTTGCCTAAATTTCTTACCAGTTGTTCTTATCAATTATTGTTCTCTGTTCGCTATGTCCTTTGTTCTCTGGCCTTTGTAAGGCTAAGATGCCTTAACATTTCCCTGAGCCTGACTAAATTTCCAGACAGGCTTCTTCCTGACTCTAAGCCTCTGAGCTCCTTTTCTTAGAGCATTTACTTTAGAAAACTTTTCATTGTAAATTCTCTGTCTGCCCCTTTGAGAAGTAATCTCCTAGCCTCTCAACAGTTTTACATCCCAGAAATATCTTTCTTAAGGACCTGGGAACCAAACCTTTGAAATGTAATCATTGGAGCAGATCTCCCAGTCTCTGTGGAGGGTAGAAGCTTAACTTCCTAATTGGGACAACTGGCAAACACAACTGATCACCTTCCCCACGAATAATCTTCAGGACTTTAGCAGTAGCTCGCTACTAGCTCACTCTGGCATTTAAAAACCCTCCTGCCTTCCAGGGAGTTGAGTTCAATCTCCCTTCTCTCGTGTGATAGTCTTGACTGCATTGCAATAGTCTTGAATTAAGTCTTCCCTGCCTTAACACCTTCACATGCAATTTTTCTTTGGCATTTGTAATTTCCGAAACAAAAATCTCTTTGGCACTTTCTTTTGCTGTTTAAAAAATAATTATTTCTAGAAAATACTCAGCTGACCAGATTTACAATTTCCTCCTTCTTTTTTAGCTCCCTCACAGATTCTTGGAGGAACTTACTTTCCAAGGCCTGAGGTCAGTCTTCCCTGTTAATAGCTTCCTTGTCTTTTTTTGCAGTCCCTCAGAGAGAGTTGCTGGGGTAACCCATATTATTTTTCAACTATTTCACACATTCTCAGTGAGATCACCTTTCTCTTTTGTATGACTATCTATCGAAATCAATTCTTCCCTTTGAAATCAGCCAGTTGTCTTATCTGGCAGAATCTTGCTGTGGACATGTCCTACTTAGTGTTGATCTAAATATAATGCTCACGAAAGCATTGTTAAGGTCAGATATGTTTACCTGGTTTTGGCCAACATCTGAGTCTATTATTTAGCATACTCAAGGAAAAAAGATACATCTTTGTGTGGCTTGCTTAACAATTCTGATCACTAATCAGGAGAACTCATAAAATGATTTAAGGGGTGCCTGGGTGGCTCAGTCAGTGAAGCACCCGACTCTTGGTTTTGGCTCAGGTCATGCGTTGAGCTCTGTGCTGACAGTGAGGAGTCTGCTTGGCGTTCTCTTTCTCCCCCTCTCTCTCTCTGTCCGTGCCCCACTCACACTGTCTCTCTCAAAATAAATAAATAAACTTAAAAAATAAAAAAAAAAAAACGATTTAATAAAGTGCACGATGCATGACAACCTTGAGAAGTTTCTATGAAAACATAAAGTTACAATTTGGGAACAAATGCAGTTTTCCTGTCTCTCTCACTGGAAAAACTTAGAGCTTTTCTGTTTCTGTGGCTGCAAAACTTATGTCCATCATCCTTTGATTCAGACAACTTTAACACGGAAGACATTTGTGACATATGTATTCGTGCCAGGAATTGCCCCAGGTAGAATTGCCCCAGGAGGAACTGTGACAGGGGACTTAAACTTACATGAGTATTTACAAAAGCATCAAATAAGCACATTTTTTAGAATTCTTGCAGTGTGTTGGCTGGTACATCTTTAATGTAACAAGGATATTCAAAGCTTTCCTCCAAGGCTTCACCGGTTCGTTATGTTAAATTTTAATATAGTTTTCTTTTTCTGACAAACCACTGGCCCATAATGTATGTGGCTCTTGACTTTCAGTCTAAGAATCTATGGTGTGGAAGGACACCTGTGTTGCTTTGCATTTTGTGTAGATGAGCAGCAATAATTAGGTTCCTTCCTCTGTTAGATTTGCATCAACAAAGGTCACAACTCCAGGTGACCGGCCATGCCAGAAGTGAATATACAGGACCAAATATGGCCTAGGAAATTGGAAGGTCATGGCTGCAATTCTCTCAGGCACTTCAGACGTGTCTCTGAAAGTGGAAAAAAGCAAGGAGCATGATTGAGATTTCTCACATCAATTTTAATTTTCTTTCCTTTTTGTTAGTTCTGATGCGGTCTCGGTGCCTCCAGATTATTGGGAAATGATAAAGGAAAATATGAATCTTATTATCTGGGACTTTCCTTTATCTGCTCCCGACCCTCATTCTTGCCAAATCAGCTCCAATCTTCAGTGGAAACCTAATTTTGTCTAGAGCCTTCTCAGAGAGAAAGGCTTACAACTTATGTCTGCTCATCCTTATTCCCTGTGCAGGGAAGGAGAGATAAAAAGACAATAAGGGAATTGTACTTTTCTCTTTATAAAATGTAATTTGAGGTGGGTGCCCCCACCATGTCAAGTTCTCTTTTTTCCAACATTGACATGTGCTATCATATTGCAGTTAAGACATTCAATAATTCGTTTCACGAATTATATCTAGTGCCTACAACATGCCAGATGCTGTGATAATGAGGGGGCATGAACACAGACTTTAAAATTTTGTGGACTGTATTAATGCCAACACTAAATAGTGGTTATCACGTGTCTGTGTGTGGGTATACACGCGTTCGGCTCAACGAAACTTTTTCCTTCATAGAAAACATACACTCCAGTAATACATTATGATGATTCACTGACTAGTTTAACTCTTACCTGATAGGAAGCAAAAATGCCTAAATGTACATTTTATACAAAGAATTTAGGGTTTTAAGGACAAGCACAAGTGCCATAAGGATTAAATGGTTATTTCCAGTCTTTCTGTGAGGATTCAATGGAAACTACGTGGTGTTCCTTAAAAATTCCATACTTACTCATCTCTGCAAACAGCTGTCTTCTTTCTGCCATGGTATTTCCTCTTTTCCCACTATCTTCAATCATTCTATGAGACAAAATGGTTATAATGTTATTACCCTCCTGCTAATGAGGCAAACAACCATTTCTATGTAAACACACTTGCTATAGTTATGCCACACACGCAAACTATTTAAAACTGTGTATTTAAAAAGTATAGCTTTACTTTCACTAATTTAAATTGCCACGCATATTTTTCCATACACGATGTTGTTGTAATTGTTGGAAGGGTATAAAATTTTTATTTGCTAACATAAAAATAACCACAATAGCAGATGACCTTGTGCAAAACTGAATACAACCATCTGCCATCTGTTAGGTGACTCATTTCACATATAGTTTCTCTTTCAGTTTTGGGAATCCCTACGAAGAATATAGAACAGATATTATGGATTCCATTCGACAAATGATGAGATTGAGAGTCTCAAAGTGAATGGCGTAGACATTTGGACTCCAGACCACTTTGCCTTCCGCCATATTCTGCAGGAGGTTGTCCCCACGCACCTCAAATCTCAGTTTACAAGGAGGTCATTTTCCAAATATTGATCTCTCATTTGAGTGTTTGGAACCTGCAACAGTTTTTCTGTATGTAATAATTTCATGCAAGGTGGTTAGGTTCACATCTCTCTACTTAACCATACCACTGTCTGCAGTAACCATTTAAAAAGTACTAGGAAAATGCCAACAGTTAAGACACACAATAAAAAAATATTTAAAAATTAAAATTTGACTTGAGGAAAAAGAAGATAATGAGAAAAGTTAATGGAAATGTTGTTTAGCCCAATAGACTTTAGAGGACTTTGGGCTAAATAGTAAAGGTTTTATAGGTTGGTGGAGTTGATTTTTTATTATACTGAAACTTTTAAAAACTAAAGTTTCCTCTCTCATACACTCAATGAATATACACACATACTAACATGTTTTGATTCTCAGGCATGGTAAACAGAAGGCACAGCTGATCTTTTTGCCTCCTTTTAATGGACCCTGCTCTTTCTCTGTCTATGCTATTTTTTGGTTTGGATTTCTCTCTCTCTGTGCCTAGCTAATCTGCAATAACCCATCAGCTCTTGGTTTAGGTGGGTCTTCCTCTGAAATTCTTCCTAACTCTCTATGATTGGCTGGGTTTGGTGCCTTTCCTCTGAACCTCCACAGCCTGCTTGCTATCCCTTTTTTCTCAATGCTGAAAATTCACTTGATAAATCTTTATTGAGTGCCTTCTATACTTCAGGAATCACATTAAGTTCTGGGTATGCAGTGATCAAGTCAGACAGAGTTCCTGTCCCTCAAGTGTTTATACTCTAGTGGGGGGTGGGGATACAAAAGTATAGAAGCAATGAAACCACAAAGAAGTAATTATAGGCATAGAAGTGGATAGATAGGTGAGTGTGAGAGCCACTGACTACCTGAGGGTAAATTTAACAGAACTAGGTTGTAGAAGATGGCTCAAAAGATAATGGGGCTGTGCACAAATAACTCACCCGAGGGTAAAAGAAAATATTAGTGGTGACAACCAAAGTGATGTCAATCAAACTGGTCAAACAGCCTCACCAGCTGTTTCTATGATGGAAGGGTTATTTGCCAACTGCCAGGAAGGGAAAGAAGGACATGGAACAGCCTTGGTTTACAGAGTTAAGGGAGAAGCGTGCTCCCATTCATGATGGGTGATGATGTAACCAGGGTCTGGCCTAAATAATAATTGGAAAAGAGTGGAGTTATTAATGAAGTGTCTTCAATTTGGTAAAAATTCACTGCTGAACACAGGTACTTTCTTTTTATGATTTTAAATATGAAAGTATGGTGGATATATAGAGATCTGGAGAAAGACACACCCTTCCTGATTCATATAACCCCATCTCCTTTACTCCAGTGGAAGTGGGTAGATAATAATCTTACACTCACAAAATAGTCTGGATACAGCTTCCAATCTTTATTTCAAGAGCTTAGAAGCCGAACCGGAACAATAGAGACAGGGGATAGAACCAACGATACGTTCCTGCATCTGTCTGTATGTTGAAATGAGATGAAAAGAACCTTTAAAAATAAATCACAAAGAATGGCAGGCTGGAAAGTTCTGATGGAAAATATGGGGGAAAGGAAGACTAGGCACCAAACTCACAGTGCTTACTTCCTGAATCCCGCCATTGGTACTGTTTGTGACATCTGCCTTTGAAGGCAGTAACTTCAAAAATTCTAAATCCTTCACAGTGCTTAGCAAAATCCAACCAGTAAATGATAGGTCCAGTTAGTATTTTTGAAAAAAAAAAAAAAAAAAAAAAAAAAAAAAAAAAAAAAAAGAATGGAACAAAAATAAATAGAGGAAAAACAGTAAGAGCTAAGTTTGCTCTCCATGAAACAGACCTTCACCTATATTTCCCAAAAGCGACTCACAGAAGAGTTCAGTTCAGATTACACAGGTTTCAGAAATTACTTGAAATGAGAGAAATTAATTTACATCTATTAGGACCTAGGGCCATACATTTTAAAGCAAAATCTTATATGAGGAAATAGAAGTTGCAAATAGATGTAGACTACACTGGTGTCACCTTTTGGTCTGTTCATCATCATTCTGTGATTAATTAACTCGTAAAAGAACCATCATTAGTTACATAATAGGAATTAATTCTCACTTGGAAGTAAAATGCTTACCCTATGAGGACAAGAAGCAGAAACTCAGTAGTGTGAAATAACGGAAAGTGTGGAATATAATTAAAAATGTAAAAAGAAAGTAACACATCTCTCAATTGACCCCTCAAGTTTCCTGGGAAGCAGCATCATTAGATCAAATTGAGAATACACGCTTCCTACCCATTGACCACAGTCATCACAGGAACAAGGGGAGGCCTGCTAGTTTATAGCTTACAGGGATGCCACAGAGGGACTTATGGACAGTCAGCTTATGAATCAAATAGGCAAGGACCACCACCGTGCTCCTTAGTTTCCAATTTAACTCCGATCAGTGGGCCTTGAGATACACAATGCTTGACTTTAGAAAGAAAGAAAAGCAAAACTTGCAGTAGGGGCAAGAGGAGGTGTTTTTACAGAGAGCTATCTTGCTTCGGCAATTGTCAGGAAGCTCAGCTTTTCATGAATTTAGTGTATCAACAGCTGCCCAAAGTCATATGGAGGAGATGAAGGGGAAAAGAACCCATCTGTGACAATACTAATGTCACAAGGTGTGTGGCTCACCAACATGCCTAATTTGGTGAGTTTCTGTTACTCCTTCATGTAGACAAGATGCTTGCAACCTTAGAATTTACCAGATTACATAAATGTCAAAACAGCAAAAGGAACTAACAGGTGATGAATAAGTGATGAGCCCCATTAAGACATTTCCTTTACTAAGGTTCAGTCCCATGAATTATACAGAGTATGTGTTGTTTTCACTTCTGAGAAGCTATCCATTTCATTTACTTAAGAAATATTTATAAGGTAGCTATAATTTGTCAGATACTCTGCTCGTTTCTCAAGATCCAAAGATGAATAAGACATGATCCTCGCTTTTAAGAAGCTCACAGTTTAGAAGGAGAAACATTATTCCAATGATAATTGTAATTTGGTGTAATATGTAAAATAATGAAAATATGTATTACTAAATATAGTAGTTTATTTCTGGGAAATCTGAAGGAAGCATCCAAGGGTGACTCTGGAACAGAGTTTTAAAGGAAAATCAAGAATTTTCCAGATAAAAATAAGTGGAGAAAGGGTAATCAGAGTTAGAGGCAATCAGGGAAAAAAAAAAACCATGTAGCTTTAACAAGAGTACAGTGTGTGAGAACTGGGAATAATTCAGTATTGGTGAGTGCAAGTGAGTAGAGACGCCAGAACAGGCATCAGATTAGAAGGTCTATTCTTCATGTCTAGACAGAGCAGGGCTTTCCTGTAGAAGACTGGATGCTACCCAAGGTTAAGTAGGGAACTGATGTGTACACATTTAGATTGTGGCAAGATGACTCCAGCGTACTGAGCGGAGGAAAGATCAGTTAGGTAGGGGGGCTAAGGAATGGGAGCGCATGATTAAGGGAAGAGTCCAGTTCACGGGATACTTGCGTGATTCGGGAGCAAGGATATGACGTCTTACGCTCAAGGACTGATTTGAGCGTCAGGGCAGATGCAATGGGGCTTAGTGATTTGCAGTCCACATGAAGAACAGTGGAGGACAGGAGCTCAGCCTTTGCTCTCCCACCCCACTTCACACATTCGAGGAAACAATCTGCAACAGCAATGACTTCACAGAAAGGGAGTTTGCCAACTCACCCTCTTCTAGCATTGCCATCAAAAGGGGGCTACAAAACCAGACAGGGAGGGCTCCTGCTCTCTGCCCCTCTTTATGGGGGAGGGATGAAATAACAGTAGAAGAGGTGGGAGCCAGCAAGAAGCAAAGAATAAATCACAATACAGGGCACAGTGTTAGAAGACACGTGAGTTACATCTTGGCATCGTGGGAATAAGTTCACATTGAAGTATCACATTCTTGGGTTGCTTCCTTCATGACACTTCTTTAATCCAACATCACCCATACCAAACACACTATTACACATGACAGAAGTTTCAAATGTAAAATCTTAAACTGGTGGTGTCTTACATTTGTATAACTTTCTAAAGATTATAAAATGTTTCTCCCTATAACCTTGTGTGGAGCTTGGGGATATATTATTATTCCCAAGTTACAGCTGAAGAACTTGAGACCCAGGCAGGTAAAAAGCATTTCCCCAAAACACATTTTTTTTTTTTCTGGCAGGGGAAGAAAACTAATTCATTTTTTTCTTGCTTTTAAGTTTTAAATCCCTAACCTAGTATGAATTCCAATCACCAGTACTCTTTCTCCAGCTGCCACTGTTCAATACAAATTAAGACTTCCTGACACTGGTAAACTGAAAATAAGTTGATAGAACTTGGGGATTAAGAGGCCAAAAGGAGATGGAGGGGAGAGGCCCACGGCTCTCTTGAACTTCAGGAGAAATTCATGCCTTTGTGTGCTACTCCCTAACGGAATCCTCCTATTCTAAAACATCGTCATACCGGAAGTA